CCCAAGCTAAATTCAGTACATACCTCTTTGTAAACATGATACATCAAGCAACAATTCAATGACTTAATATTGGATATTTTCCCATTAATTCATGTCTTCATTAAATTTTAGAACATTTCGAGCATAAATATGATAGTGGTCAAGAAAAAGCTGGACAATTTTCAGTTAACCAAAACAATAAATCAAACTTCAGAATGGGTGAAAATTTTAAAATATTTAATAACAGAAACAGTATATTTTTGGCAAATAGTTAGTTCCTTCAAACCAGTAGCCTCCAAAATACTCTAAACACAAGTTCAACAATAGAAAATCAAATGTAACATTATTGCGAAATTCATGCAAAAATACCCAAAAATAGAGAACTGCACCAAAGTTCCACAACAGCGACAATGCTGTTGAGAAACACTCAAGGCCAGAACAAGACCTTGAGAACTTTCAAGGTTAGAAATGTTTGAATTTACTTAGATCAAGCAAGCTACATGAAAAAGTTTTTCCACAAAGATATCGTATTAAAAATTACAGTAAAAAATAATATCAAGCACTCATATATAAGAATAAACAACACAAACCTGTACAGGAATAGAAGGTCCAGCCTCATCAACACGATTCCCACCATCATCAAATAAAGCTCGCACCTGACCACGACACAACAAAATAAATAAATAAATTATTTCAAGACAAAATAATAAACAGTCCCTTTTTTAGCATTAAGTCCAAAGTAACCTTTCCAAAGGATTCCCCACAAACTATTATGTCCCCTCTTTTAAGAGTCCCATTTTGCACAATAAATGTTGCAACTGGCCCTTTAGATTTATGCAGACCAGCCTCAATAACAGTACCCTTCGCATTTCTGTTAGGATTAGCCTTCAACTCTTGTAACTGAAACAATCATGCACATAATCAGAATACTTGGAATGAGGATAAGAAGCAACAAAATTATTTCCATTCAGGAACATATTTCAGAAGGTGTCACATTAAAAGATATGGGATCCTATTAACTTCTATGCACTTCTATAATAACCAAACGCATCTTTGCATGTGTGTGTGTGTTTGTCATAGTGAGTTTAAAAAATGCCATTTGCACTGAACAACCAATCTGATAGCACATATCTCATTCTTATTCAATGAAGCTATAACCAATCCAAGTGACCAAACAATATTGTATATATACATATATATCTCGATGGTAATCAGAATTGATTGATAATTTAAAAAAGAGGAGAGAGAAAACAAGGAAAGCATGGGGATCATGCAATTCATTAAATAAGAGCCAAACGTGTAGTGATTTTCACTGAACCACCCAAATACCAATGCTTACACTGATGATCCGGGTAAGGGAAGTTGAAAGGAAGTCAGCAAAGAATACTGCTAAGTGCCAATGAAAACAATTCTGTGTACAATGAGTTAAGCCTTTGAGGGCAAAAAATTGGAGACAAACGAGATAACAGCTAGCACTTTCAGAGTCAAGTAGACTTTCCAAACAGCACCTGAAACTAACCTATACATAATGAGATCCTTCTTTTCAGTCATTTGACTGGCCGTCTAATTCACTTATTATCCACAGTTTTATTTGTTATCTGCATTAACAAGAGAATTCTACATTTTTTATCACTCATTCAAACAAATTGTGTCATCAAAGAACAGGCAATTCAACATGCAAAACTGAAAACAAGATCACTCCTTGGTTCTATCAGTTCGAACCTAATTTTGGAAGGAAAAAAAATATAAAATGCAAAGATAACTTAAGCAACCGAATAAAATTATTTCGTTCTAATTGCAGAAGAATGCCAAAGCCAAAATGCTGCACAACAATATAATTAACTCACCTCTGCAACAAGCATTATGGTTTCCAGCAAATCATCTACTTTCTCACCCTTCAGAGCACTGATCTGTTTAAGAAAAAAAAGAGAGAGTATAGGGATTGACCACAGGTATAAATCATAAAATAATGATGCATATAATGTTAAAAGAGAAAGGACCTGAACCATCGGGATGTCACCACCCCAGTCTTCTGGCATGAGACCAATTGAAGACAGCTCTTGCATGACTCTGTCAGGATTAGCTCCATCTTTATCAATCTGGTACAGTAGAAACAACAAGAACAAGAGTTACACCAACAATGAGCTAAACACAAGTTGCCAAGTTCCAGTAGTTTCCATCATTTTTATCTAACTGTGAAAAGAGAGTATCATTATATTTGACATACCTTATTTACAGCAATTATAATCGGTACACCAGCTGCCTTCGCATGTGCTATTGCCTCATTTGTTTGAGGGCGGATCCCATCATCAGCAGCCACTACAATGACAGCAATGTCTGTAACTCTCGCTCCACGAGCTCTCATAGCCCCAAATGCCTACAGCAGTGGACATTATATATATCATCTTAAAGGTAAGAAAGAGCAAGAAAGTTACAGTTATAGTTGAGTTTGTAATACAGTACCAGTGACAAGGTCTAGTCAAATGAACAATTAATCCAGAACAAATATGATCCAGCAGAAAAGATAAGACCAAAAAAATTTGCTCACTTGGCAAAGAAAGTAAAGTTAGGAGAGCTAATTGAGCAAAAAAACTTTACCTCATGCCCAGGCGTATCGAGGAAAACACATGGTTGTAATTTTCCATCAACAGAAACTAGCACCTTATATGCTCCAATTCCTTGTGTGATCCCCCCTGCTTCGGATGCAGCTACCTGCAAAAAATCTAGCATTCAGGCTTCTGTGAATAATGAGCACATCAGGACATCAACAACTGCAGATGGCCTTGGCAGCCAATTATCTAAATTCATTTTCGACAAAACTGAATAGACTTCCAATGCTGACAGATTATGTCACCATACAGATAAAGAAATAAAAACAGGTAGCTATAAATCACCTAGTATAACAAACCACAATCAGACCTTAAACTTTCTGTGAAAAGAAACAGAAAAAGAGGAAAAAGAAAAAAAAAAAAGGTAAGACATAAATCACCTAGTACAGCAAACCACAATCAGACCCTAAACTTTCTGTGAAAAGAAAAAGAAAAGAAATAGAAAACCGACATTAAGATAATTAAGCTTGAGCATACCTTGGTTTTACGGATATAATCCAAGAGGGTTGTCTGCCAAATGTATAAAACCAAACACATATTAGCAAAATCATGGAACCGAAACAATTTTTTTAAATTACTTTCCACTGACGTTCAAGTTAAAAAGACAAAAAAAATTAGAGAAATTACTAAGAAATGATGCACAAGATCTAGTCAACAGAAAATTTGCAGAAGTTTTACAACTTACCTTTCCATGATCCACGTGACCCATAATTGTAAGTACAGGAGGCCTGTCTTCCAGCTTGTCCAAATCTTCTTCATCAAAAATATCCTTCTTCCTAGCCATTTCTTCCACTTTAAAAGGGTCAGCATCTAAGACTTCCACTTCGTACTCCTTACATATCATCTTCACAATATCTTTGTCCAGAGTTTGAACCCCATCAAGCTTAATCCCCTTTGAATACAGGTACCCAAGAAGTTCGCCCTCACTAATTACCAAGTTTTCGGCTAACTCCTCGATCAACATTCCTTTCTCCCCAACCTCAAGAATTTCTACTTTGACAGGAGCTGCCTCTTTGGCAGCCTTAAGTTTAGCTGCCTTTCGGCTAGCTTTACTCCACTTCCTCCCTTTCCTTGCAGCACCAGGAATGGAGACATTCAGTTCAGATGTCTCCTCATCAGCAATGCCATCATCTTCAAAAATCCGTCTCCGAGCTCCACCTGAAGCCTTTTTCTTACCATAGTCATCCTTGAATTTTCCAGGGGCAGGACCCTTTCCAGGTTTTTTGGGGGCCAAGACCGCCTGAGCAATTACAGGATCAACCACTGATTTTTTTGTGGCAAACTTGTCAATCAAAATTGGTTTCCGTTCTTTACTTCTCACATGTAATTCACTCACATCTCTAGCCGATGACTTTGGAGCAGCCCCCACATCTTTTAATACAACAGGTTTCTTTATCATGGGCGGAGGAACTACAGACGGCTTTGCTTGTAGTTTGGGTTGAGGTCTCAAAGGTGGCTGCGCAGGCCTCAAAGGTGGCTCGGCAGGCCTCAAAGGAACATTCGACTGAGACTCCACCTGGACCTCTCCTCCCATTCTAGGCTTCTCTTTCTTATTATCAATCTTGGGTTCTTCCTTAACAACCTTTTGTACATTTGCAACCGTATCACCTTTCCTCCACACACTCTTCAATGTCTTAGTCTTCCTAGTTCCAGCTGAATTCCCAGGCCTATCATTTCTTCTATTATCATTCACATTAGACGCATTCCCATTCCCACTCTCTTTCCCAGTCTCTAATTTCTCAGCCTTCTCCAACACCTCATCCAACGACTCAATAACCTTATTCCTCTCTTCCTCATCTGAATCCCCACTCACTCTCGACGCATCCCAACCCACCGAATTCATCCCCAAAACTGGTTCACCCTTAACCCCCGGTGGTGACTTCAACACGGGTTTAGGAGCAGGCTTAAGAACAATCCCATTATCACTATTATCACCATTATCATTACCACTCTCATCTTTACTACTACTACTACTACTACTTCTTCCTGTATAAGTGTTAGAAGAATCAAGAGACACAGACCCATTGGCCTGGTCAGCAATAAAATCAGTTGCAGTAGTTGTTGTAGTAACAGAATATTTACAAACCCATCTCTTTTTACCCCTATAATTTGCTTTAGACAACAAAGAAACCCTCTTTACTAACGAATAACAAGACGATTCTGATGAAGAACCACTGGTGCCCACAACACTTATGCCTCCTAAACTAACCAAAGAAGCTAAAGAGGGCATACTTCCCACAAGAACCAACATGCTCAAAACAAAAACAGAAACAAAATTATTCTAATTTCTAAATTCTCATTCTAAAACAAGATAAATAATGGGGTTTAATTTGAAGAATAGAATGAGAATGAGAATAAGAAGCTTACCAAATAGGGAGATAAAGTGAGAGAGAACAGAGAAGTGAAAACAGAAGTGATTTTTTTGTGTTTAAGTTTTTGTTTTGCATTTATGTGGTGAGAAGGGGAATAGAGTGGGCTGGGTTGGGCATGTGTGGCTGGCTCTCTGCCTGTTAAAATCTTGTGTTTGTGATAACTGATAAGGTGTTTTCCTTGTGTTTTCTATATTTCAACCTCTTGTTTCCTTTTTTCTTTTGTCTTTTTCTTTTTAAAAAAATTATATATATATATTTTGCAAAACTATGGAAAATTCTCACTTTTGATTTTGTTTTTTACTTGGGTATGGCTTCGGCTTGAATTGGATAAGGACAAATACTCCAATTTTTTATAAAAATTTGTGGAAGGTCTAAAATTTTTTTTTTTTAAAGGGTTTCTAATTACTTTAATGATTAGAAGATGGAATTTTCACATATATTTTGCCTTTAATTTTTGGGTAAGGTTAATAATTCCTTTTATGGAAAGTAATATATATATATATATATAAATGATTAGAAGATGGAATTTTCACATATATTTTGCCTTTAATTTTTGGGTAAGGTTAATAATTCCTTTTATGGAAAGTAATATATATATATATATATAATTTTCTTCATGGATCATATTGTTAGTATTGGTATGGTCGAGCCAACTTAAATGATTTTCAGGATATGAGTAAATAACATCCACCCACCCAAAGTTTAGCGAATCTACAGGTTCCCACCCATGGTTTCATAAATCCCAGTTTCCCACCCTTAAATTAACATAATTAGTGATTTTTTGGGTACAGAAAGTGTTATTACCAAACTACCCTTGACAATTAAACTAATAATTTCTTTTTAACCCCCAAAATTTGTAGAATTAAAAGATAACCATATTACTTTCAAATTTATTTCCATAACACTCTTTTCTTTGACCCTAGATTGAAATAAGACGATCGCACCCTTGTGACCCTAGATCCGCCGCTATATGCCATTCTTCACTACCATCTCCGCCCCAAAACCATCAAATTAGCAACCACGACCAACCAAACAACCCAAAAAAGCGGCAATCGCGCAAGGGGAAATGATTTGTACCATATGCCAAGATGATTTGTACCCAGTTCAAATATTCCACCTGCAGAGATTAACGTCTGGTTTCTCTGAAAGACTCTGGCCTGGTGAGATTGTATCAGACCCTTAAAAGAAACGGATTTCGAAAAATAGAAACTAGAGAAGCAGCAAAAACACAGAAAACCATGTTTTCTTCATTATAGTACCCATTTCTTTGCAAATTTGTAACAGCCAACTAAATTGGCTTCAATTTTTTGTGTACAATAACTCTTTCCAATTAAAGTATGACTTTTGAAAAAAATCCCCAATAATTATCAAGCAATCTGCTTCTTAAAGTCTTCCCATACCACTATAAATTCCAATAATGTTTGACTAAATGCAGCGTATCAATTGTCGGCTTTAATTGTCGCGATAGCGCCTGGAAATCACAGACCTGCGTCGCTGAAGCGCGGGACACGGCCCACCAAGGGGTGGGCGGCGGTCTAGTGGGGGTGGGGTGTGAGAGGGAGTCAGGGGGCGCCGGAAATCGGCCAGACTTTCAACCAGTTAAAAAGAGAACAGCGTTTATTATTTTTGGGTAAAAAGACTTAAACACCCTTTGACAATTATATTAAATAGTTTTCTACTAATTTAAAGGTGGGAATTTGGAATTTATAAAATTATGGGTGGACGTCGGTTACTCTAAATTTTATAATTATTTTTTCTAGTACTTCGAAAATATCAACGGATTGTTAATTGAATTATCTAATGATTTAGGCTATTCACATTGACAAAATAATAATTATAATAATAAAGGAGAACTTATATTCACTATTTTTTTGGGGGAAAAAAGGGAACAAATATATTTTGAAAATGAATAATTTTATAAAAATTGTAAAGCTTTGATAGGGACATGCCAACAAATCTTAAAGATCCTGGCTTCGTTTGTTTCAGTTTTGGGAATACTACTTTTAGTATTCCCAAAAAAGTTAAACAGTAAAATACCTAAAAACTCAGATTTTTGGGAATACTACTCCCAATATTATTCAACTTTTTTTAAACCCCTTAAATTTGATAATTTAATTAAATACCCCTAAATATTTTTTTTTAAATTACAAAAATACCCCAGTAATCCATGTTTACCAGATTCCGGCCATCACTGTCAGAAAATGGCCAGAATCTGTTAGGATGGCACACTACCGGCTGAATCTAGCCGGTAGTGAGCGGATCTAGCCTTTTTCGGCCAGATCCACGGTGGATCTGGCCGGAAAAGGCCAGATCTAAGGCCAAAGATCTGGCCGTCAACGGCCAGATCTTTGGCCGTAAAAGTCGGTAACGACGGCCAACAAACGGTCGTCGTTGACCATCAACGACGACCGTTTGTTGACCATCGTTGACGAGCAAAAACGGCCAGATCTGGCCATAGATCTGGCCGAAAATGCCATATCGGCGCACGACCGGCAAGATCTAGCTGGTCATGCGTCGATACGGTGACTCCGGCCACCCTTCGGCGGTGGTGGCCGGCTGTCCGTATTTGAGGGTTGGTTGGGGGTGTTTTTGTTAACTTTTAATGTTTTATTATAGGGGTGTTTTTATAAATAAATAAACATAGAGGGTATTTTATTAATTTATAATTCTTACATCGTAATACCCGCCCAATTCAACTTTTTTTTAACTTTTTTCAAAAACCTTTTCCCAAAAACTCAAAATTTTGNCAAGGGAAAATAAAAGATTTCTGTCTCTGAAAACTAATACTTTAAAAGCTTGATTCATGTCAAAGTCAGTTTTCTGATAGGACTTGCCAGATTATTAACTAGTTCTGATCACTGATCAGAAAACAATAATAACTGTTTCCCATCAGTTTTCCATTCCTAATGGAATAATCTGATTCCAAGTATTAACTGTCTTTTACTTTCTGGACTATCTCTCTGCCCTCATGCTAGAATTCATACAATCTCATTTACTCTACATAATCCACCTAAACCTTTAGTAAGAAATTCCAAAGCTAGTGTCAAAAAAAGTAACCAGATTATAATAGATTTAGTATTTTATTCATATAATTTAAATGAAAATTTTACTTCAACTTCCAAGAAAGAAGAGCCGATACCTCAAATGCCAAAAATCCACCAGGTTTCAGCATTGAAGCAGCCCCATTGCATAGATGGAGAAGATCTTCCAGGCCATTAGGACCACCATCTAAGGCAAGTCTTGGTTCGTGTTCACCAACTTCAGCTTGAAGCCCAGAGATATGGTCACTTGGTATGTATGGTGGGTTACTCACAACACCAGAAAGCTTGCCTTCGACATCCTTCAATGTTTCGAACCAAAATCCCCGCCTTACCTCAATCTCATCCTGAATTCCATGTCAAACGGTTAAAAATGACAAGAGACAACAACATAAGCCGGTATGTACAAGTGAATATGATGACAGATCAAAGTACTAGCATACTGCTTTATTTTCTAATAAAAGAAAATGACATCTCTTTCCCTAATAATCCAACTGTTGAACCATTTAAACCTCAAAAAACTCAGCCCAATTTAACTGCATATATGTAATCATCTATGAACACAAACAAAATTCTCAATTCATTCCACATTTAACACAAGCATATCAATACACTAACCACATTTAACATGTCACAACAATCTAACAAAGAAAGCCATAATATTATAATTCTGCTAAAAACTAAGAAGACTCAAATAGCTTTTTAACCCACTAACCTGCAAACCATACCTCTGCACGTTAAGAGCGGCCACAGAACAAGCCACAGGATTCAAATCAATGGCAATAACCTTCCCTTGCTTCCCCAAAACTCTACCAATCCCAATGGCAATAGCACCAGAACCAGTCCCCAAATCAACCCACAACCCTTCTCTCAACTCCTCATTCTTCTCTATCAAATCACTCACCATATCAACCATCAACTCGGTCTCCGGCCTCGGAATAAAAACCCCTTCTTCAACACACAAAACCAAGTCCCTCCAATGCTCACACCCCACCAAATACTGTAAAGGTTTCCTTTTTTCAATCCTCTCCTTCCACAAACAATACAACTCATCCAAATCCACCCTCAAAATAACATGTTGGGGACTTTCTTGGATACCCAGTTGGGGAATGAGTGAATGGTCTTCGACAGAGTCCTCCAACAGCCAGTTGAGTTCTCTGCAAAGAAGAGAGGAGTCGGGGCCGTTGTCCGAGTGAAGAAAGGAGGAGCCGACCGAGGAGGCGAGAGTTTTGGCCCATGTGTACCATTTTTTGAGGTCTGAGAGAGGGGTTGAGTGGGTTGGTGGGCGTAAAAAGAGTGGGGTTTTGGGTTTTAGAGAAGAAGAAGATGATGAAAAGGAAATGGGTTTATGGAAAGTAGAGTGAAAAGGAAGAGAAGGTTTACGAAAAATTGGGAAAGTGTATGTTCGGATTAAGCTTATCTTCATTTTTCCCTCTCTTTCCTTCTTTCTTTCTTTTCCCCAGTTCTCGCCACAAACGGTTCCGTTTAAGTAATATCGGTCGACAGTTTAAACGACAACAGCAACGTTACTCTAAATAGTCTAATTAACATTTCTATTATTTTATTATATGATTATGAAAGGAAAAGTCAATTACAAATATCAAAACCCTCTTTTTTCATAATTATAAGATGAGTAATATTCCACTTATAAATAAATCTTATATAAATATTCATACAGAGTGATGTGGTAAAAAATAAATGAAAAAGTAAATATAATGAATTTAACTTTTTATTTTACTCTTTTATTCATTTTTTACCACTTCATCTTGTATGAAATTTTTGTAAGTATAGTATTATTATTATAAGATATATAATACTTTTTGTATAAGCAAAAAATCTACCTTTACGGAAATAGGGTTTGATCCCGTGAGGTTAAGGCCACTAGCAATCTGCTGCACCTGCACATGCGAGGAAACAAGCGTGAAGCGAATGGAAAATATCGGGGTGGTGTTTGTCGTAGGCACTCCGACACTCAAGTCAGTAAGGCTGAATGAGGATGATTTAGTGAGGGTTAGAGAAAGAGATGGTTACCAGAAGTCTAGTCGGAGACCACAACTACGGTAGTGATATGAGGTTCCTAAGAGTGAGAACTACGAAGTTAGAAGGTGTAATCTGTGTGTCCTCTTGTGAAAGGGTTGGCCTCTACTTAAATAGCGACTGTAGGATCTTCAAGTCCTAATAGGACTGTGATTCCTTGGAGGTTGAGAGGTTCAGTGAATAGGAAAGCTTTTGATTCCCTTGCCTTAGTAGGAGAAAAAGTCCTAGTTGGTCTAAGATACGGATCTTAGACGAGTTAGGTTAGTAATGGATCCTTTCGGTAGAATCCGAATAGTACCGAAATAAGAAATAGACAACCTTGGGGTATAAATAAACCCTAGGTCCAATAGATGATCTTGGATCAAAAGGCCTAGGGCCAAACAAGCTGATGATAAGGCCTGAACGACTCGGGACCTTTATTGATTGGGCTCAAGCAGTGAGCAACAGGGTAGATGTGGTGAGCGGACCTAATATACAAACTCTGTTGTGAGCCCAATCGGAATTGGGCCATGGCTCCGGGCTTTGTTGAAGGTGTCTTCGTCTTTGGGCCTATTTGGCGGAGGACATTTTTTGGCCCTAACAGTTTGCCCCTTACTCTCTAAGTTAAGAAGCGCTTAGCTTAGAGAGTAGATGTTGCGTGAAGGTGTGCTTAATCGTCTTTTGTGACCGACTGGTTGGACATGTGAATGTGCTACTTCTCTGTTCGCGGAACCAAATAGTATAGTTTTTATTATAGGTTATGCATTCGGTACACTAGGCCGAGTGGGTGGGTGGAGGTGAAACACAAACATGCCTTCACTCGGCGTATCTGATCGAGTGAGGGAGTGGAATGGACCTTGATGGCCTTGCCTGGTGCATCGGATCGAGGGAAAGCATGAAAGAATCTGCTAGAGGTGTCCTCACTTGGTATGTCGAACTGAGTGAGAAGATATGCGAAACGTCCCATGAAGGTGTCCTCACTCGGTGTATCGAGCCGAGTGAGAGGGTGTGTGAGCTATCCCATAAAGGTGTCCTTAATCGGTCTATCGAGCTGAGTGAGAGTATGTGCGAACTATCCCATGAAGGTGTCTTCACTCGGTGTATCGAGCCGAGTGAGAGTATGTGCGAACTATCCCATGAAGGTGTCCTCACTTGGTGTATCGAGCCAAGTGAGAGGGTGTGCGAGCTATCCCATGAAGGTGTCCTTACTCGGTGTATCGAGCCGAGTGAGAGTATGTGCAAACTATCCCATGAAGGTGTCATCACTCAGTGTATTGAGCTGAGTGAGAGTATGTGCAAACTATCCCATGAAGGTGTCCTCACTCGATGTATCAAGCCGAGTGAGAGGGTGTGTGAGCTATCCCATGAAGGTGTCCTCACTTAATGTATCGAGCCGAGTGAGAGGGTGTGTGAGCTATCCCATGAAGGTGTCCTCACTTGGTGTATCGAGCTGAGTGAGTATGTGCGAACTATCCCATGGTGTCAGTACTCGGTGTATTGCACCGAGTGGAATACGTTAGGGTCATTCTGGTAGTGGTGCCTTAGGCTGATTGGTTGAATCCGAATGAGTAGGTGTATGCGCACTCCCAAACAAGTGGCTAGTTCACTCGATCGGGATGACCAAAAGGGTGAAGGTTGTGTTTTGCTTTGACAGCGTTTGTCACGAGGCTGGAGAGCCGAGGTTAAATAATCAATACATCCGGTGCTAACTCCACTTGGTCGGGCGAACCAAGTGAGTGGTTAGCTTCTCCATGGTGTATGCATGATGTGGCGGCCGCGAACCCGGAATAGGTAATGTGAAGCTGAATAATCCATCTCTCGACACGTGTATGATCGAGATGTCTCTTTTGATTTTGGGCGGGAAAATGGAATCATACTATTCGATGACCAATCAGAGGTTGCCACGCATAAGCTTTGATAGCTTTCGTCGATAAAAGTGTGGAGGCGACTATTCATTTCATTTTATTTTATTTTTCATTTCTTTCTTCTATCTTCGCGATTTCTCTCTGTTTAAGTTTTTCTCTGCAATAGTGAAAGTTTTCGGGAACTTTGGCCATTTTTACAGTAAATGCTTGCTTCCTTGTATTGTTTTTCGTTTCTTTTCATCCTTTTCTTGTGTTTACGGTACTTTTGAAAGAATTTGGGTGAGGTTTGGTAGCTTTTTTAGGGGAGTTTGAAAAGGAGGCGTTGTGTTTATTTGACTTGAACAGGGTAGGCAAACTGAATGATTTTAAATCTTTGATTTGGCATTTGGGAGATTTTGTGTGTTTAGATTGATTTGGCGTGGTCTGCGTTTGGAGATTCCAGGTTTTCTGGATTTTCTGGGTTTAGGGAGGTCAGAAGATGGAGTCAACTTATGTAGGCTTCCCATTCGGCTCATCTCGGTCAGCTTGACTAGGTTGAGTGATGTGGTTTGAGTGAAGTCTGGTTTTTCGGTAAAGGCTAGGTTACATAGTTCGCTCGGTCTCCCAAGTTAAGCAAAAAGGGATCTGAACGAAGGGTTAAGGTAGTTGGTACTCGGTCATCTTGACTGAGCTGAAACTTTATGTAGAGGCAAACAGTTAGCTTGATATCAGAGCCTGTCAATCAATCGCTCTGGGCGAGTAGAGCTTTTGGAACTGAGGATACGATTTGGTATTGAAAAACCAATCGGTTGCCTAGGTCAAGTGGCTAAGGAGTTGAATGTCGCAGTCAAAGTTAAGCGGCTTGAGTGGGATGGAGATGGAAGTTGGGAATGAATACGAGAATGCCCAAACGATGGCAGTGATGTCAGAGGGTGGAGACGTTCTGGTCAGCATATCGAAGGAGGTGAATGTGGCCACTCCTGGGCCGAGCGACACCGCCCCGAACAATGGTGATTCGGATGGGCAAGGGACGAGTGGGGAAACTCCGATGAAGCCAATGGTTTCGAAAGTTTTCCCTCCAGCAGTAGTGGCTCCGAGGACGAGTCGAGTCGGCCCGGTAGCGGGATATTGAATAAGGACTATCCGCCCTTGTTGAAGGAGAGTGATGTGTGATGGATTAGGACAATGTACCATATTCCAGAGTCCTTCGAAATTAGGGTGCCGAAGTTATACGAGAGGGTCAATTGGGAGGCAAAAGGTTAGGTGAGTGCCTACGAGAAATGTTTCCATGACGGGCTAAGGCTTCCTATTCCCCGTCTAGTTTAGGAGGTCTTGAACCATTTTATGATTGTGCCGACTTAGATTATACCAAATGGGTGGAGATTGGTGATGGCTTTGGAGGACATCTGTGTGTGAAATCAGGTGATGTTTGGGCTGCACAAGCTGCTATACTCATATTTTCTAAAGGAAAATGACAAGGATAAGGGTCAGTACACGATCAATCTTAGGCACGATCGGGCTCATCTCATGACTGACCTCTAGTCGAGTGATAAAAACTGGAAGGAACGCTTCTTCTTCATGAGGGGTGAAACGATCTTTGAGGAGAGAGGCTAGGGTGAGATCCCGTATACTTGGCGAGCGACTGGTGAGGAACTTAGTCTTTATTCATGCTTTGATTACTAAAGTCTTATTTTGTTTCTCCTTTGCAGGTCTTGAATTCAATCATGTCGGGCAAAGTGGGGACAGCTTGAACGTGTAGACTAGAAAGGTTCTTGCTATTGCTGGGGCACAGAGGGATTGGCGAGTAGTGTTGGAGGAGGCGAATCTAAGGACGAGTCACCTGTGGGCTAGAGTTGGTGCGATTTAGTGATGTATCCCTTTCCCTTCACTAAAGCAGACTTGGATTGTGCTGCTCATCCGCTACTTCAATCATATTTTGTCTGGTAAGTCAAGGCTTAACCTACTAACCGTTAAGGAATTTACAATTGCAGAGAAACTTATGAAGAAGTTAACCGTCCCGAACGCGAGTGAGTCTATCGCGAGACGTCGCAAGAAGCAAAAAATGGACTCTTCGACTAAAGAGGAGAGGAAGGTGGAAGATGTAGTTGTGACTCCACCCGGACAACCGCTTGCGCCTAGGGCTGGGTCATCCAAGATGGTGGTCTTGGATGAAGAGACTGAGATGCTTACTTTTAGTATCCCAGCTTCCGTGTCAACCTATTTGGATGCCGCTTCCATGAGCAAGCTGATCGATTCGTTCCTGTTCCCAGCGGATAAGAGCCAATTGAACCAAATGGGCGTGGTTGTGGTTGTGGCTGCTGACTTTGGTGTTTCTTGCGCTTTCCAGGTATGAGCCAGATTTTTATCTTACTGTACTTGTAGTAACTATACACTGATCGAGTGGTTTTATCATACAGGCTTTCACAAGCAGCTTACATTTTAGGAAATCCATCATGTCACAAGAGAAGAAGATACAAGATGTTTCTAAATCCAACGCCAATCTATGACACAGAGAGGCAACAATCCATAAAGTTGAGCGGGAAAACTAGCGGTGGTTGAGGGAGTTC